CAGGTTCTGTGATTCATGCAATGTCTGATGAACAAGATATGCGCAAAATGGGAGGATTAGCTTCTTTGTTACCTTTTACTTATGCTATGATGCTAATAGGCAGCATGTCTTTAATTGGATTTCCTTTTTTAACTGGATTTTATTCGAAGGATGTGATCTTAGAACTTGCTTATACTAAATACTGCTGATGACGTCTGGATGCGGTGGAAGACACATTGGGAAGAAGTTTCTAACAAGACCCTGCATTGGACTGACGCTGGATCTGATTCGGGATTTTGCAGCCTAATCGGGACCTTTCAGGGGGATGGGGTTATGAAGCTCTGGTCCGCAGGGGAATGAGAATGGTAGAGAGATATGGAAAGCAAAGACTGCCTATATTTTTCGGGGAGAGGTCGTCTCTATTTATAAGGAAATAAGTCAGATAAAGTCCCAGATTAGATTGGCAATTAAAAAAAGAAGAAGACAAAAAGGATTGGCAATTTTGTCCGATTGGAAAAGGATCTCAGATCAGTGAAGAAAGGGACTTAGGGCCTCGCTCCACTGCACAGCACTCTAGACGCATTTCGAGTTTCTGCACCTGGTGCATTCAAACGAGCCCAACATTTCGAATGTATCAGATCCAGAAAGCGTCCTGAATCTCCTGATGCATCTAGGGCCTGATGCATGCAGAGCGTTGTGTAGTGGCCCTTAATTAGCTTTTAAATACGTGGGCTGTGGGTAACAGCTTAGCGGCAGTGCTATGGAGGGGAGGTTGATTATCTCGGATATCTCCCCATGGCTAGGTAACTAGCGAAGCTGTTGTGAGCGGAGGGCCTCAGGTCCGTTGGGCCGTGATTAGGTTCGAAAGAGTACTGAAAGGATCATGGTCCTTGAAATAGAGCAAGGGTTCTCTTGGCGTGAGTAAGAGAATAGTAAGTTGAAGAAATGAAGGAGAAAGTGGAGCCGCAAGGTTTTTGTTGACAGTACTTTTAGTTGAAGGAGAGGGACGCTGGACTCGGTTTCCAGCATAGGCCCAAACTGGGTAACGGCCTCAGAAGCTCGGGGTTGATTTGTGAGGTTCCCGGCCTCATCGCCGTTTTGAATTGAAGCTTCGACTTCTCAAAAAAAAAAAAAAAAAAAAAAAAAGATCTCAGATCGGCTAATAGGAAACATAAGAAGACAGCATTGACGTTGTTGATTCAGAAGTAACAACTTTGGCACATAGGGGGTAGCTGATTCCATCCTTGTTTTTCCTGCAAAAGAGATGACATTGTGGGATAGATTGCAAGTAGTCTTATGGCATTCCAAGTCTGACTGGAAACTATGGCTGACCTATCGTTGCTGTAGATAGCACAGAAGTAAAGTTCGCTGTGGAAGCAGACCAAGGTTGCTTCATGTTTCCTATGTTCCTTCTGGTTGAAGTCACCGAGAGGTAGAGTGGTTGCTAAATGTTTCTAAATGTTGATGACTGTGTAGCATATTGTCTAACAATGGGTGGATGAGCGTGCTTCCCATGCACGCCAAGCGTTGCGGAAACACCAGCGTGGCATTTTTCTTTTTTCGTTTGGTTGGTGTGGCCAGCCATTTTGGTCTGGTAGCACTCAGTCTGTTCATCCAAACTTTTCGAAATGACTCATTTTTTATTCTCAAGTTTGCCTGGGCGGCGTACTTGCGGCCCACAACTGTGCAACTGTGCCTTGTGTCCCGTGTGGGAACGAGCATCTCCGACGGCATATTATGGCATCAGCTTCCTGAGCTTCCCTTAGTCATGGTCGACAGAAGGAATGAGGCAGTGTAGCAGGTGGGAGTCAATAGACGAGCAATCAGCGTGAAGCAGGCATGCCATTGTATGATCGCCACTTCGAGATATTTACCGTAATCATACTAATCAATGGCCTTCGTCTGCATCCTTGTGGACCCTCCTTCACGGCTGGGTGGAAACACTTCGTAAAAAAACCGTATCTGCACAAATGCAGCTGTGGATCATTGTAACCTGACGAACTTCAGCAAAAGAACGACTGTCCGTCAGCGAACAGTGTGCCACAGACCCTACATGAAATCATCAATTCTGTTTCGGGAAGAACTAATCCACACAAAAATGGAATCCCACAACCGACTCTCTCTCTCTCTCTCTCTCTCTCTCTCTCTCTCTCTCTCTCTCTCTCTCTCTCTCTCTCTCTACTGGTGCGCCCAGGCCCTGTGATCTCTCTCTGAATGACCTCGCCCTCTCTCCTGGACTATCCTACAGCTATGGCACACTTGCACTGTCGACCATTTGCTCGCCAGTTACTGTTCATGTATCAGGGATCTTGGCACTCGACAACACTGCAGCTGAAATGGATTCACGCTAGTTCGCGACAGTCGCAGATCCCAGGGTTCGATCCCTAGACCTCCCCTCACCCTGTGTACAGTACAGTTTGACCAGTGTGAGCTTGAACCCGTGACCTATCCCCTAAAGCTGTCTGTTTGGGGCTGTTGTACATATGTGGGTTGTGAGGTTTCGATCTGCTAACCTGTGTCGTAGTAGCTGCTACAGTCCTATAAGGTCAACTTAGGCCGTCGCTGCTACAGTACCGAAAGGTCACGTAGGCTAGGCTAGAACCTTCTAGACAGATCTATAGTGCCCCTTCGTAGGTCCTAGAGTGCAGTCCGTAGGCAAGTGGTCAGGTGGGCAGTCCCACCTAAGTCCAGTCAGCAGTCCCCAGTCCTGTGTCTACCTGTCCTAGTCAGCAGGTACCAAGTGGGACTGTGCACATCTGGGCCTGGGTCGACAGGACCAGACCTACAGCACAAAGAAGTATAAATAAAGAGGCAGCGTCAACACATTCATTCATTCTGCCTGTGAGCCATGCGGAAGCGCTGTCGGAGTGTCTTGTGTACGAAGGTCTGCAGGTGCCCCTAAGTGGGCTAAGAGGAAGAAGGTCGGCCATAGCCGACAGTCAGTGGAGGAGAGAGAAGGCAGCCATAGCTGCCACGTCGGCAGAGAGTTAGTGTGTTAGTGTGTGTGTACGTGCATGTGTGTGGGACATCCAGGGTAGATCCTAGTAGTGTGTGTGTGTGTGTGTGTGTGTGTGTGCAAACGAGTTGCTTGTGGATACGGATGATCGGGTGGGAAACTTGTTGGGCGCCATAGCCATTTTGAAGCAAGCTGAATCAAAACTGTGTTCCTGGCTAAGTTCATATCTCTGAGTTTTGTGTGGGCGCTATGTGCTAGATCAGATTCGCTATCTGTTTGCATGCATGCTGTCAAAGAAAAGAGCAAGTCTGATTTCACAGCGCTTTGGCAGGTGCCCAATCAGAAAGAGGAACAACCTGATTGCCTGCCACCTTGTGTCCTGTGTGGGGTGCCTCCCACATGGCTCGTGGCCTTTCCTGGAAGGCCCTGCCATATCCGACAAAGATTCGGACTGTCGTGGGCCTTCCTTGGGACTGAGCTCCGACCTGACCCATGGATGAGACATTGCCAATTCCCTACCTATAGACTGCTAGGGGCCTCTACTCTACCTGCCGGCCTTAACCTCCTGGATTCTACTTAGCCTGTATAGTGCCTACCGGAATGTTCTCCTGGCCGGCGTATAGGATGCGGTACTGGGATTGGACTTCTGAAATGAGTGAATTCTTTCACCACTGAATCACCAGTGAATTTGTTGAGCCTCATACATCAGTCTGAGAGGCTTTCATAACTTATATCGCACAACGATGAGAAGGCACCACACAGAAATGGAGAAGCGTGCTGCTCATGCAAAGAACCACGGTCAAAACCAGCCTTGCAGCAGTCTTGGGGTCATACCTTCTGGCCAAGTCAAAGCTCTGGGGTCAAAGGTCGGGTTGTAGGGTCCTAGGGGCGTGAGACGACATCCTCAAGGCGGTAGACTAGGGGTCCAGTGCCCAGCCTGAGTCCTGAGGGGCTGCACATACCCTGGGGAAGTCGGCAGTCAGGCTCTACCAGGTCGGCAGTCCAAGAGTCAGATAACTGATTCAAAGCCTCGGAATCCGTTCCTATTGGAATCCAGGGCCTACTAGGTCAAGGCAGCCTCATAACATAACCAATACCAGCTGCCCAGATCAAAGGAGAAGTGACATGCTTCAAAAGTTTTACGACTCTTTCGGAAAATGGCAAAGAA